TGATACAGTTTGAGTTGATTTTTATTTATGGTATAAAATAAGGGTCCAACTTCATTCTTTTGTATGTGGATCTCTAGCCTTCCCAGCACCACTTTTTGAGAAGATTGTCCTTTCCTACTTGAATAGTCTTGGTTTTGAAATCAGAAATGTGAGTCCTCTAATTCTGTCTTTCTTTTTAACTACTGTTTTAGCTATCTGAAGTCCCTTGAAACTCCTTATGAATTTTAGGATAGGTTTTTCTGTTTCTGCAAAAGATGCCACTGCGATTTTGACAGGGATTGTGTTTAATGTGTATATTGTTTTGGGCAATACTGTTATCTTAACAACACTAAGTCTTACAATTCATGAACACAGGATGTCTTTCCATTTGTTTAGGTCTTTAATTTCTTTTGTAGTTTTCAGTGTACAAGTCTTTCACCTCTTTTGCTAAATTTATTCCTAAGTATTTTATTCTTTTCCATGCTGTTTTAAATGGAATTTTCTTAATTTCCTTTTTCCAGTTGTTTATTGCTAGTATACAGAAACATAACTGATTGTTGAGTGTTGATTTTCTATCTTGCAACTTGGCTAAATTAGCTTATTAGCCCTAACAGTTTTATTGTGGATTCTTTAAGGTTTTCTACATATAAGATCATGTCATCTGCGTACAAAAATAACTTTACTTCTTCCCTTCCGATTTGGATGTCTTTAATGTCTTTTTCTTGCCTAACTGCTCTGGCTGAGACTTTCAGTACAATGTTGAGTTGTTGTTAGTTGGTGTCAAGTCAACTCTATGGTGGCCTTACGAAGAACAGAATGAAATGTTGCCTGGTCCTCTGTCATCTTCATGATTGTTGGTATGTTTGAGTCCATTGTTGTAGCAACTGTGTCAATCCACCTCACTGAGCAGTGGTGACAGCAGGGATCCTTACCTTGTTCCTGATCTCAGGGGAAAGGCTTTCAGTCTTTCACCATCAGGTATGATGTTAGCTATGGGTTTTTCTTAAATGCTGAAGAATTTTCCTTTTATTTCTTGTTTGCTGAGTATTTTTAGCATGAAAGAGTGTTGAACTTTGTCAAATGCTTTTTCTGCATCTGTTGAAATGGGCATGTAGCTTTTTTCCTTTACTCTATTAATGTGGTGTACTATACATTGATTTTCTTATGTTGAACCACCCTTGCATTCCTGGGATAAATCACACTTGGTCATGCTGTATAATCCTTTGAATGCCCTACTGGATTCAGTTTGCTAGTATTTTGTTGGGAGTTTTCGCCATCTATATTCATAAGGGATATTGGTCTGTAGTTTTCTTTTCATGGGAATCTTTGTCTGGCTTTAGTGTCAGAGCAATCCTGGCTTCATGGAATGTGTCAGGAAGGGTTCCCTCCTCTTCTCTTTTTTTGGAAGAGTTTGAGCAGGACTGGTGCTAATTCTTCTTTCAATGTTTGGTAGAATTTGCCAGCAAAACCATTTGGTCCTAGACTTTTCTTTGTTGGGAGGTTTTGAATTACTGATTAAATCTCCCCACTTCTTATAGGTCTATTGAGATTTTCTATTTTTAAGTCAGTTTTGGTAATTTGTGTTTCTAGGAATTTGTCCATTTCATCTAGATTATCTAGATTTTTGGCATATAATAGTCGTAGTTATCTGTGTCTTCTCTCTTTTTTTCTTAGGCCTTCTAGCTAAAGGTTTATCGATTTTATTGATCTTTTCAAAGAACCAACTTTTGATTTCATTGATTCTCTCAAATATTGTTTTTCTATTCTCTAGTTCATTGATCTCTGTCCTAATCTTTTTTATTTTTTGACTTCTGCTAGCTTTGGGTTTAGTTTGCTCTTCTTTTTCTAGTTCCTTAAGGTCTAAAGTTAAGTGGCTGATTTGAGATATTTTTTTCTTTTGTAATGTAGCCATTTACAGCTATAAATTTCCCTCTTAGTAATGTTTCTGCTGCATCTCATAAGTGCTGGTGTGTGGGCCACTGTCCCCATGGACTGGGGGATGGCAGCTGCTAATGTGACATGCCAAAATTCACCAAAATTTACCAGCCTCTCTCTTCATCAAGCACTCCCCCAGATGCTGCAAGTGTTCAAGTAGACTCCAGCGTCCTGAAATAGTTGATTCTAACGGTTCTTGCCAGCTCGGTAGTTGTTTCAGTATAGGAGCTTCCTACTCCACCATCTTCTGTGACTCACTCCCACGCAACAGAATATTATTTAGTAGGAAAAAGGAATAGGTACAGATAAATGCTAAACATGGATGAAACTTGAAAACATTATCCTAAGTGAAAGAAGCCAGTCAAAAAGGTCACATATTGTATGATTTCATTTATATGAAATGTTCAGAATAGGCTACTGAAAGTAGACTGTTGGTTGAATAGGGCTGGGGTGGGGGTTGGGGAGAAACGGGGAGTGACTGCTAATGGGTACAGGGTTTTTCTCTGTGGAGTGATGAAAATGTTCTAAAATTGATTGTTGTGATGGCTGCACAACTCTGAATATATGAAAAACCACTGAACTATAGTTTAAATGTAAACAGGTACATTGTATAGTATGTGACTTATATTTCAATAAAGCCATTATATTAAAAATACCCATAAGTAGAAAGGGATAACTAGACTCTGAACACAGAATATTTTCTTATATGAAGCTCTAGTGCTAACTGAATATAAATCTAGATCAACACAGTTTAGAAGATACAGATTCCAACATAATTCAACTCATTCTATGTCAAGAGATTAGTTAACAACAGGGCATGGGACAGTGTTAAGAAGATGAACTAAAAATTACGGACTAGAAAATGAAACCAAAATGCAATAATGATAGCTATCAAATATCTAATAAAATACCATCTATACCTGCACTGTCCAAAACAGTAGCCACTAGCCATGTGGGGTTATTTAAATTAAATAAAATTAAAAGTTTACTTCCCCCATTTCACTAGCCACATGGAGTGTACTACAGAGATCTAGGGAACCCTGGTGGTGCAGTGGTTAAGCATCTGGCTGCTAACCAAAAGGTTGGCAGTTCGAATCCACCACGTCGCTCCTTGGAAATCCCATGAGGCAGTTCTACTCTGTCCTGTAGGGTCGCTGTGAGTCGGAATTGACTCAACAGCAACGAATTTAGTTTTTGTTTGTTTGTTTGTTTTATAGAGAACTGTAACTCTTCCTTTACATAACATTAAAATATACATCACCTCAAGGTATTTTATTGTGTTTTCTACAATTAAAACTGATGTCCAAAACAAAGTAAATACTCCAAACCCCTTTAAACATTTCCATGAGATAGGCTAAATTACAATATGTAAATATCTCGAATATTCCAACCTTCTGCTGTACTATTCAAATAAAAGAAATGTGCTCTATCAGAACAAGAACAAATCCAGGGCTTTGGATTCTATTCACTACTCAGACAAGAGTCTCTAGTTTTTGACTGAGATCTCCGAATCTTTTTTGATCTCAATGTTCTCAAAGGTAAAATAGTAATTTATTTAGTAAAGTTTTAAATTAAATACAATCTAGTGTCACAAAACATTAAATACTTTAGAGTTGATAACTGGATAGCTATATATGTATCTCAGAGCCCTGGTGGTACAGTGGTTAAGAGCTCAGCTGCTACCAGACGATAGATAGTTCCAATCCACCAGCCACTCCTTGGAAACCCTGTAGGGCAGTTCTACTCCACGGCAACAGGTTTATATGTCTCTTGGTCTTATAAGGCTCTAACCAAATGGGGCTATTATGAAATGATTTCCAGTTGGGATCTCTGGTATATCTGAGAGAACTAAAAAGTTGTGCCTTGACAAAAAAAGAGCACATAAATTGTCGTAAACTATAAATCTACAAATCATACTTGGGTTCAAGTCCTGATGGAGTCCTTTTCCAACCGAGACTTTCTAAAACCAAGGTCAGAGTTCTAACAGAGGAAATAAAATCTGAATATGGGATTATGGTACTGGTATACTTTAAACAACAGGCCTTGGAAGAAAAACCCACATATAACTTAAATGTGTGGCTACTAATCAGATTCTGGATGTGCTGGAGCAGCTCTCACTTGGGGGTTGGGGATAGGCAGAAAAGAAGAACTCCTTTTGAAATGCAGATTATTATCCAAAATTAAGGGTTAAAACAAGGCATTCTTATATGAAGGCTAAGATTCCAAGGGAAAAAATTATCACTCTAACCCAGGGTTTCCCAACCTTGGTACTCTTGACATTTTCGACTGAATAACTGTTATGGGTGGCTGTCTTCTGCACTGTAGAGTGTTTAGCAGTATCCCTGGCTTCTATACACTAGATGTTGGTAAGATCTCCCTCTGCCCCAAACTGTGACAATCAAAAATGTCGCAAATGCATAAATGTGCTAACGGCACACAATGTATTGAGATGTAATTTGTGATAATAACAACATAAGACAAGATGCCAAACCGTCACTGGTTGAGAACTACAGGTAACATTTACTTTTACTAACTAACCTTCCTTTTATCTTTCCTCCTTTTAAAAAAGGCACAAATGGGATGGATGGGAGGGGGAAATGGGGAGTAATTGCTTAAGGAATACTGAGTTTCTGTTAAGGGTGATTAAAAAAAAATTGGAAATGGATAGTGGTGATGGCTGCACAACAGTGTGAACGTAATTAATGTCACTGAATTGCAGACATAAAAATGGTTGAAATGGCAAAAAAAAAGGCACCAGTATTGCATGGGACACCCGTATATTAAAAAATATTTTGTTGTTTACCTGACATTCAAATTTAACTGCACATTCTGTATTTTTATTTGCTAAATCTGATAACTCTATGTGTGACAGAAAAAAAAGATCTGGAATGCTACATTACCGTGCGAATATGTCCCTGCCCACTTCCACTAAGCTCATCGAAACAAGCTAACAGATCTAAAAAAGAAAATATATCAGTGCTTCTTTGAAAGCCCATTCTATTTAAACCCCATAATACGGTATCCCTATGGGATACCATAAGGCCTTGCTAATCACAAACTGTGCTGTAGCTCTATGGAGGGCTTACCATTGGGGTCTTTCCTGAACAGTGTATTCATGACTGTAGCATGGAGTTTCACACTATTCCACTCTTTCACTATTAGTCCAGATGACTGAAAACGTTCCAGCACTCGATCAACTAATTCCTGAAGCCTAGAGAAATTAAAGAAAAAAATTACAGAAGTCTTAGTAAACCCCTGAACCCCTCATTACTAATTTAACAATATTTATGCAATATCTAAGGATCCTTGGTGGTGCAATGGTTAAGTGCTAGCTGCTAACCAAACTGGTTCGAACCCACCAGCCACGCTTCATGGGAGAAAGATGTGGCAGTCTGTTTGCATAAAGATTACAGCTTTGGAAACACTATGGGGCAGTTCTACTGTAGTTTTATGCAAATAACACGCACCTTCTATGTTTTTTTGCCAACTGCACCTCCCCCAGCAAGGTATTTTCAAAAGTGTCACTATGTCAATTATTTTCACATGCTGCTGTAAAACAAAACAAAACAAAATTTAGCATAGCACACTTAATGAAAATACCTCGCAGTGGGAGGGCGCAGCTGATAAACGTAGAAGGCGTGTGTTATCTGCGTAAAAATATGGTACTCTGTCCTACAGGGTCGCTATGAGTCAGAATCAACTCAATGGCAATGGGATTGGTTTTTGGTTCTTGATGGGTCATCTATGTACTCTGTGCTATCACCATACAAGGCCCTGCATAAGAAGAGGAAGAAGAAAAGCCTGCAGTCCCCACCATCATGGAGCTCACGATCTTATCATGAGGACAGATACAGAAACAAATAATTGTAATATATCATGGTGAGTGTTACAGGGCACAATAAAAGGAGTGATCAACTCTACCTGGAGAGTGCCATGTTTTCACAGGAGGTTTAAACTTGGTCTTGAAGGATTACTAAAGGCTTGTGGATAAAATCAGGAAAAGAAGGGCCCTTAAAACAGAAGAAACAGAATATGCAAAGACGTCCAGGCATATAAGATCACAGGGTATTTGAAAAACTGCAAATTATTTATTATAGCTGCAACAGAATGGAGATAAGCTGGATTTGTAAGTAGTGATCTGACTTGGGAAGCCACAGAAAGGTTTTTAAAAAGGGAATAGTGTGGTTAGAAGTACATTTTTGAAAGCCGACTCTTGTGGCAGACTGGGAAATACGTTAGAAGTAAAGAGGCCAGCAGTACAGAGGTCAGCTAGGCAGCTACTATAAAAGTAGGAAAAACAACCAACATTTATTACGTGTCAGGCACTGTTCTGAGCTCTTCATAGCTATTAAATCATTTAATCCTCACAATAAATTATTATCCTATTTTACAATGAGGCAACTGAGGCACAGAGAGGTCATGAAACTCGATCAAGGTCACATAACTAATAAGTGGCAGAGAAAAATCAAAACGCATACAGTCTGGTTTCAGAGACCATGCTCTTAACAACTGCACTATAAAGGGGAAAATGATGAAGACCTACACTATGGCAGGGGTAATGAGAACTGAGACAAGGAGATGGATTCAGAAGAGCTACGTGAGATAAGCTGATGGGTCCTGGTGCTTACTCAGATGTGCCAGCATTGAAGGAGAGGAAGTTGAGAATGACTCTTAAGAGTCTGCCCTAAATAACCAGGTGGGTCACTAAGGTGAGGAGTTCTAGAGAAGCAACTGCTCCTGCCATATTGTGTTATGTTGTGTTGTTTTAGGAAGAGGTTTAATACTGTGTATGATTTTGCATATGTGGCACAGGATATCAAGGAGGACATGTTCGAGAGAGATGGAAATATAAGTCTGGAGCTCAAGAGAAAAACCTGGGCAACAGATACAGATTTTGGAGTAATCAGTGCAAAAACAGTAGTTAAAATCATGGGATAGATGCAGTCAAACCTGGGGTGAGTTCAGACTAAGCCAAGAAGAAAGCTCAGAGCCCTGTGGGATATTTCCATTTAAGGAGCAGAGAAGGAACCAGCAAAGACAATTGATAAGGAGAAGGAAAGAAGAGAGACCTGGAAAGTGTGGTATCGGAAAGGCTGAAAGGAGAGTTACAAGGCTGGCAGGAGAGGACAGTAATCAGTATAATACAATACTACAGAAGAGTAAAGTAAGAAAAGAAGCAAAAACTGCCTACTTATTTCTGACAAACGGAACACCATTAGAAACTTGCCAAAGCTGTTTGCTGGCACGCTGGAGTCAGAGGCCTGGTTGCAGAGGACCAAGGGAGAGAAGGTAAAGGTGATGGGTGTACATAACTCTTTCAAGACACTTGAAAGGAAGGCAAGAAACTAATGCCTTGCTAATTAGAAGCTATGTAGTTGAGAAAAGGTTGTTTGTATTTGTTTTCAATGAGGAAGGAGTTGAAAATGCTTACTGACAACAAGAAATAATCCAATAGAGAGGAGGGAGGTGAAACTTTAGGCAATAGAAGAAGCTGACAGAATAAGATCTCAAAGGAGATAGGAAGGGTTGATGTCCTCATAAAAACCCAAAACCCACTGCTGTCGAGTTGATTCCAATTCACAGCAACTCTTAGGACAGAGTAGAACTGCCCCATAGGGTTTCCAAGGCTGTAATTTTTAGGGAAGCAGACTGCCACATCTTTCTCCCGCAGAGTAGCTGGTGGGTTCAAACTGTTGACCTTTTGGTTAGCAGCCAAGCACTTAACCACGTGCCACCAGGGCTCCTAACGTCCTCACAGAAAAAAACTCGTTGCTGTCGAGTTGATTCTGACTCATAGCGACCCTACAGGACAGAGTAGAACTGCCCCCTAGAGTTTCCAAGGAGCAGCTGGTGGATTCCAACCGCTGACCTTTTTGGTTAGCAGCTGAGCTCTAATGTCCTTGTAAGCCCGCCGCCGTTGGAGTCGATTCTGACTCAGCGACCCTATAGGACAGAGTAGAACTGCTCCATAGGGTTCCCAAGGAGTGCTGGGTGGATTCAAAATGCCGACCTTTCGGTTAGCAGCCAAACTCTTAACCACTACACCACAAGGATTTCTTCATAGGTGGTGAAAATACAGTGAAACTTGTGAGAGCTGGAACTCGATGACACTGCCTTGTTTTTCTGGGTCTTGCAAGTTTTCTGCCTTTGACAGGGTGCAGTCTTACCACTTTTCTATCGCTCCCTATTAGTGGAAAATATTTGCATTTTCCTTCTCTGACAGGTTTCCACCTTCCACAGCTTCTGGCTTTCATAGGTCTTACTGTATAGAGGTGAACAAAACAAATGCCTGCCCTTTAATGAGAAACTAATTTTCTCTGTAAACCTTCATTTAATGTACAATAAAAAAATATAAATGCCTGCCCTTAAGCAGCTTCCATTCTAGTAGAAGGAGACAGACAGTAAGCAAATACACATATACTCTGTCAAGTGGTGCTACGCACCATAAAGAAAATGAAATAGAAAAGAGGGACCAGACTGTGATTGGGGAATGAGTATGCTATTTTAGATAGAGTGACCATGGAAGGTCTCTCTAATAAATCAAGTGACATTTGAGCAGAGATGTGAGGGAACAGCATCCCAGAGAACAGGAACAGCGACTACAGACACATAAGGCGGGCACAGGTGAGGGATGAGTGAGGAATAACGGGGAAGCCAGGTGTTGAATGAAACCGCCGAGAGGTGATGAGACTGGAGAGGTAGGGAGGACCAGGCCACAGAGGGCCCTCAGTCTCTTGCAAGGCTTTCACTCTGAGTGAGCTTTTAGAGGATTTTCAGCAGAGGAATTACAATTTGACTGACATTTTTAAAAAAAGCAAAAACAACTCTGGCTGCCGTGTAGAGGGCAGGCTGTGGTGGAGGCAAGGATGGACGCAGGAGGCTGGGCAACAACCCAGGTAGCTCAGTGGTAGCAGCAGAGGTGGTGAGATGTGGTAGACTTTCTGATATAACGGAGTCAGGAATTGAAGGAATATGAAAGAATTTTATTCTTAGCAACTGAATGACTGAATGTCAAAGAACACAACACATTTAAGGATTTGTGAGAAATTCTATAGAGAAGGACAGCAACAAAATGGAAAGGTAGTTTGAAGCCATGCTGTGAAGGCCCCTGTGGGCCAGGTAGGGTTGGAATCTTATTTGGTCAACATAGGAAGCCAGTGAGGGTTTTTAAAAAGCAAAACGCACACGGGAGAAATAAAAGCATGGAAACCAGTTAAGAGGGATGTTGCAATCATTCCCTGCTTCCTTATAGAATCACCCTAATTTTTTTTTCTGATTACAAAATCTGTTCATCATAGAAATTATAGAAAATGCAACAAAGCATAAACAGGAAAATATAACCTCACCATCCACAAATACACACTGTTAACTTTTTGGTATATATTCTTTCAGCCTTTTTCTACACATATACATCAATTTTAAAAAGACAAGAAACATACTTTTCTATAACCTGTTTATTGCACTTAATACACACCGATTATTTTTCCATGTCATTAAACTGTTTTTCTAAAATATCACTTTAAATAGCTTTTAGAATAGTTTAAACCAACAATGAGAAAGACTAACCAACAAAATATTGGTAAGGGAGAAAGAGGACTGATTCCTGAAAATGGCTGTGTCCCTAAATTACTAAGGGGAAGATAAAATATGTTCACACTGCACGTGACTCTAACTCAATTAGCTGTGCATGTGGATCTCCAGGCAAAGGCCTACATTACATTGGGTCTAAAAGTTTTTGTTACCATCACAAGACTGTAAAGATTCTGACCTATTTCTAAATAGTACAACATAACGTAAGTCTGAACGTGACGGTGACACCACAAAAGCTGCCTCAATCCCAAATCACAGCAGAATGAAGCCTCATGTTTCTCCTTCCTTTATTAAAAAGAAAAGTGGGCAGGGGGTACAGCTATGTAGAAACAGGGAGCAAGAAATGCTAGAAGAAGGAAAGTAGATAGATTAAGTGAAAGAAAACCGGCTTTGTCTTTCTAGAAAACTACGGTTTCTGCCCAATTTATTGATTTAGAACTTGGAAGGGATGGAAGTCCTTTAAAAAGTTCTAGTGTAGCCTGCTCATTTTACACAGTAGGAAATGAAGCACAGACAGGCTGAGTTGCCCAAAGTCAGCAACAGAAGGAAGCAGAATCCAAGTCTCCTGGGCACACGGTTCTGCTATTATCAATTTACTACACTCTCCATGAAGGCTGTCTT